TAGTTAGCAGCCTACAGTTTCATGCAGTGAAACTAATCACATCTCTGACTAAAGAAACGAAGAGAGGGAATTCTGTTAGTAAAGAATTTGATTTGCTCAGTGAAAAAGAAAAAAAACAAAACAACAAATAAGCCAAACCAACAAACAAAAAACACCATAAAGCAAAACAAAAAGGGAGTTGTTTTTTTTAAAAGACATTATGATAGATATGAGGACATTCAGTCAAGTTATGTGAAGACAGAGGTGGTGTAATTGCTAAAATGAGGTCAGATTGTGTGAGGATAAAAGAGGAAAAAGAATATGGAAAAAGACTCTTAGAAGAACCTGCTTGAGCTGAGAGGCAAAATAAAGGTCAGCTGGCCTTCAGAAAAATGGACAGAAAAATGGATCACAGCTTGAGATGGATCTGCAGAGCATAGTAAAAATCCCCATAAACTTACAAGAATTTTCAAAAGAAAAACCAATGGGAAGGTGGAAGGGGCTATCTGCAAAATGCAGTCAGAAAAAGCCTGCAAGAAGCAAGAGTGAAAACAAAGTGTTAAAGCGGAGACCAGTAGGACTTCCAATATCTCCTTTGGACTTAGTAAAGAGAAAATCATGTTGAGTTAAGGAGACCAAAGCTGAAGATACAGACAAAGAAAAATTATTCAGAGAACACACATTGAAATAAAGCTTCTCTTTGGGGATGGGTAAAGACAGAGCTTCCTCCAGTGGTGGGGATATCGTGTGTAGATACTTCTCAAGTATTCATAAGTTGAGCACTGGCACACCAATTAATAGGCCCTCTGATATTGCTGCAAACCATCTGGAAGGAAAATCTAAGCTTATTAAGAACAGATGGATAAGAACCAGGTCAGCCTTCCCTATTGCTCCTATTTGTAAGCGAGATGTAAAAGTAACTCTGTAAAGACAGTTTGAGTTGCTCTGGGAAATAGCGCCTAGCACTCAACATGCCAGACAACAGGCTTCATCAAAAGAAACAGGACTGCAAGAGAACAGGAACAAATAGAAAAAGTTGTTCCTTGAGACGTAAGTCTGATTCCTACAGATCTGTCTCCTGCAGGCCCCTAAAGCCCTTTCCCAAACCCTCAGCCCCCATCATTACCACAGCTACACAGTGATTCGGGATAATTATTCCCTCGAACTAGAAACAGCCTTGTTAAATAATGCAATTGTTGACCATGTCATGCCAAGAACAATATGTGTGTTTTCTTCACCTGGTACCCATACAGTGGTTGTGCCAGGTTATGGGGCTCAGGTTGATTTTTAAAAGTTTAAGTGTTTTGGAAAATAACATCTCATTCAGCATGTTCAATCAAGCGTTGGGTTTCTGCAGTTTAGCCATTCTGTAATAAATTCTCTCAAAATTGTTAAAAAGGTTTCTTACAAATGCTGGAAAGTCAAACTAGGCACCAGTAAATTAAAAGAAAGCCTGAAAACTTGCTGAGGTGTTATTTAATAGAAAGCCTAGAACACTTGCATGAATACGTAATCAACTGTGTTAAAGCTAGGGATGCTGTGAAGCTCTAAGAGCACCACAAGAAAATCAATTAGAAATACATTATGATGAAAAGATCACTTGAGCTAACAGCTTTGCAGGCAGAGACAAAGACAGTACACATCTGAGTACATAGAAGAAATGCATTATTTATACGGTTACAAAAAGCAATTGATCCTTCTGAATTGTTGCTGGTTCCTGAAAAGCAATTGCTAATGAAATTTCTGGAAAAGCTGCCGGTGCCCGCAGCTGTCTCTCAGAGATCACAAAGAGAGTCTGCTGTTGCAGGACAAGCCCACCTCAACACCTGCCCATCCAGTGCTGGTCTGGCTGACTGGAGAAGCAGCAAACCCCATAGAAATCAGTTTGGCTACTCACGGAATTCCTCAGGCCAGACTTTTTTCCATCACCGTCTTGGTGACTCTGAAACTGTCAGTGCCATGTATCTGAGTTAACCTGTTCTCAACAAAGGGAAGAGAGATCTCCAATTTTTTTCAGGGAAAAAAACAATGAATGAGAAGTCCACAGATCAACACTTAGTGCCTGGCAACTATTCCATATGTAGATGACGATTTGCAAGCATTCTCATCTAAAAGGTTGGTGAGGAATGCTTTCTGCTCAGTACCTCAAAGGCACCCAGGCACTCCAGAGGTAGCAGGAGGTTCAGGTTGGGAAGAAGTTTTAGCAAATTTACAATACTGAACAAAACTCCCATGAAGAAGTATTCACAGATAAAGTTGCTTTTCACTTTTACTAGCAGTTTCTGCTCTCAGTGCCTCACTAACTGAAATATTCCCAAGTCTTTTAGCTTTAGACTCCCAAATCTGCTGGGCTAGAGGTTCAATTTCATCTTATGCCAGTCAAAACTCATGCTGCAACATGCCCCGCTTCCTTATTGGTGTCAACACAAGCAGAACTGGAAACTGCTCATGCCAAACACCGTATTTTGGGTTTGTGTTTTGTGGTGGTTTTGACTAGGTCAGTTTTCAAGCAGGTGAATGCCCTGCATCTGCTCCTCCCCATCCACTCTCCCTGTCACTGGAGGCAGGACTGCTGCTTTGGGAGACAAAGGGAGTGTTGCAGAGAGTGACTGTGAAAGAGCATGGGCTCCTCAAGGACAGCTTCCATGTCAGATCCAGTACTGCAGCACCTGCAGAGCCCATAGCAGTCCCACACCAGCACACTGTTACAGCTGCTCACACCAGGCCCTGTCTGACCTTCTGAATATAACACCCAGCACCTAATTCTGGAAGCAGCTGGAGGCTGCAAGAAACTCTCACTGCAGTCAGAAATAGTTTTGACTTACTGGAAAATCTCATTTTCTTCCAAACTGTGCACGTTTGCACGTGTTCTCTGTTCTCTGTCTGGTTTCTTCTTTCTCAGATCAACACTCCCCCCTTTTTCAGTGGCTGGCCTGCTTCTCAGCAGGCTCTCCCTTACTTTCTCCTGCCCCCAACAAGTTTGGCAATCATACTCTGAAGCCCATCTTGCTGGAAACAACTTTTTCCCACCTGATGGATGGTTTCTTCTGGCATGGAGGAGAAGAATGGGAGAAGATGGTTTGTACAAAGGCATCAATACACAGAGCATTTTCCCTAAAAGCTTTCATAATTCTTTAATAATAAAACTCTTCCCAAAACCCTCCATCTCCGTGCCCTTGTCCTGCTCAAAGGCTGCACATGCAACCCCCCATAAGCTGATGAAGCCATGGAGAAAAACTATGCAATGTTGCAAGGACCAAATAAAGGTGACAGCTGAAAACGGTCACTATTCAGTCCCTTCTCGTCCTTGCAAGCCTGCAACTCAGAGGCAGCAAGGGGTGAAGACTGCCCATGCACAGCACCACGGAGTGCCACAGCCAGGCAGCAAGTCTGTAAAACAAAGATCTCCATGTAATCCCAGCTAGCTATAAAATTATCATCTTAAACCAGACTTTCTGTTATTGTTTGTATAAGTAATGCTCAGGTTCATGTTCAGGCAAGGCACAGGATGCAGATCTAGGACAACTGACAAATCCACGGCAAACAGCTCTACAAAATCACGGCAGTTTTCCAATGCAGTAGTATTGATAGTACAGGAGAGCAACTAGCTGTTCACCACTTTCCTTATTGAGAAAGGTGTGTGGCAGCTGGTATGTGCTTTTCTTATTTTTTTTAAATAAAAAATGTCTTATATTCAGGGAAAAAGTCCATATAAGTGACTTTCATTTTTACTTCCTGACTGCATGGAAAGTTCTCTGCTCACCTGTGTCTGACAAGATTAGATCATTAATTTGCAAAAGAACAACCTTTAGGTTCCTACAAAAGCAGTGGGACATGGAAGTGCATGAATTAGGGCAGCCCAGGGACTCATTGCACTCAGCTGTCTTTCTGACATTTTCTAAGGGCACTAGTTGTGCCTGAAAACAACAGGCTTTAGGAAAACTGATGAGACCTTACACATATCCCTCCTCTTGGTTCCTTCCATATATGGCATGCACAGCTGAACCACTTGTGACTCCTTTGATGAATTATAACAGCTTATATATCAAGACTGTTTTAAAATAAACCACAAATTTTTGTTCCCATGCTATTGGTCATCCTAAATGTTATCCCACCATCCACCAAGTTTCAAGTACTATGACCACAATTCAAGCTTCCCCCACATCCATCCCAGTTGGAGCACACACCACTGGGAAACCTCTCAATCACTGGGAGGAGTGCCAGGCAGCAGCAGGGCAACACAAAATAGCCATCACCAGCTTCAGCCTGCAGGGTGGAAAGGAGGTGGCCATGCCAGTGGCCACCATCACACAGACTCTTTGTCTCACTGCTCACTGCTGCAGGCAGTGGCTTTGCAGCCCTGGTGGGACACTGCTGTGTGCCATTTATTCAGCTCACCACAGACTTCCTCACTGTTGGTGTCATGGCATGGTGGGGATTTAACTTCAGCAGCTGCAATATGCTTTTCTTGACCTAAACTCAGTGGGGACAGAGGAAGGACAGGATGTCACAGAGGCGGTAGAACTTGACATAGCAGAACAAGGTGAGAAGAGATGTCAGCAATGAGACCAGGAAACAAAACAAAGTTCTTTGCCAGCATTAATTGCAAAGCCTCCGGAATTCAGGAGCTTCCTACCATTTGATGAGAAGATAGGCCATGATTCCTCTCTTGTGCACCATGATGTAGCTACTTTCACTTATCCTTCTTCCACATTCCTTGCCCAGTCTCCCTTTGGCACATCAGTACCGTCATAGGCAGGAATCAACCCTAAGTGATCGTATCAGTCAATTGTACACTCAGTGGTGCTGCTTTCAGCAGCAGTAGGTGTCACTGCATCAGGGTATGCAAGGCAAGCTCATCCCCGTTCCAGGCTAGAGTGAATGCTGAAGTTTAGCGCCTTCTGCTGGAAAAAGAATAGCCCCTAACAAAAAAACTATCCCCCCAAACCATCAGGGGAATGATATTTGTTAACCACATTATGAAGTGTTCCAAAGCTACTACTAAAGTTGAACAAAGATTAAAAAAAAAATTAATAAAGAGTAATTTATTCAGCGTGAATTCAAAGGAGATTCCACCATTCATTACAGGACCACACACTGGGTCTCAATGCTGTACTCCAAGATATAGGCAGGGTAAATTTGTTGCTTCTCAAAGATGACAAAGATGGAAGGGTCTATCAGGTCATCCACACAGCTGTCATAAAGTCTGTTTGAATTGCTGGCTCGGGCTGGAGGGCGACAGTATTCAGCATTTCCCTGAACAAAGTCTCCAACAAGAACTTGAGCTACAAACATGGTGTAGCGACCACTGCGAGCGGAACAGTACTGGTGAGAATAGCTGGCATCTCGGGCAAAGTAGCTTCCTAAGGACCAGAAAAAGGCATAGGTAAGACAATACAGCAGCTGAGGATCAAGCATCTGCGGTCAGCACTTTGGCAGCCAGCGATTCAACAACTCCAGGTAGCCCTACACACATTCTTGCCAAGATGGCAACACACGTTGGCTTATTTTAAAGCATCAACAAACTCTAGTCATATTTTGCCATCAACCTCCCAGTCCCACCTGCCCAAGAGCTTTGCAGAACAGCAGGTACCTGAAGCAAAGAGAGGTGGTTTTGGTCCCTCCTGGAATGGGATTGCTGCGGATGCTGTCTGCAGCAATGCAGATGGAGGCAGGGGAGAGTGCCCTAATGGCAGGAGTGCAGGGGTCAGGGGCAGTCAGTCACATCACACCCACATACCAGCCTGGACAGGGTCTGCAGTCCGTGCTGCTACAGCCCCTACACCCACACTTCTGCACTTGTACCTTTTCCATACATTGTCCCATGAGTCCCACAGAGCCTCCAGTCAAAGTTCTGCTCACAGATGGCAGACACGTGGGATGGATTTGTCCCATGGAATAGGAGCCGCTCATCCACCCTTTTTGATTTATTGACCTTCTTCATCTTCTCTTTTTGCCTAGAGACCAAAAAAAAAAAAAGAAAAAAAAGAATGACTTGTTATCCTGGTTCACATGAGGACAACTTCCCAACTCAACTCCTCCTACTTTTGGGTCATGGAGGAACAGTGACACCAACCACTCTCAGTGGGGTTACTGCCTGCTTTGCACTTCTGTTGGTACCCTGCTGCACAGCTGGCTCGTGCCAGCAAAACAAAAAGTTCTCAGCATCGCTATGGACTGTGTCACCCACAACTTCATACCACATGAGAGAGTAAAGAGACAAACATCTCTTGACTGGAAATTGGTCAGTTCCCATGTTATATAAATCCTGAATGCATAAATATGATTATAAAACTGAGCTGTATGAACCCACGGTGAAGATTGTATAATCTCTGCCCCACCTTTATCACAAAAAAAGTCCCTCCCTTTTTTTTTTTAAACTCCTGTGTGGAAGAAACTAAAACCAAAGGAATAAACTTGAAATACCAGAACTCAGTTATGATGAAGGAAAAGAATTCAATTTTTGAATAACACTAGTAAGAATCACATCACCCCCCATTAGGTTATGTGATAAAAGGCTCATTTCTACACACACAAAAGAACGCAAAGGCAACCCCAATCACAGAGAGGAGCCCCTGTCTCCTCCCAGGGCTGCCTCAGGGGAGCCTCAGCCCCAGGGATCAGGGAGACACCTGGCACCGTGAACAATGGAACAGGCCCAGAGCAGCTCACAGACATAAAGAGGGTACTGCCCATGAGAGTATGGGACTTGTTATGGGACAGAGGGAAAATGCACTCAGGGATTGCACAGGACTTACAATGCCATGTTTAACAGAGGAACTGTAGGTGGGAGAAGGGTGAGATCAGGATGGCCTGAGAAAGATAAACAGGAAAATAGATGGATAAGGGGGTAAAAAGGGTTGGTTGTGTAAAAACAGGTCACTGCCTGGTTAGTAGGCTGGTCTGGCCACATCCAGTGCCTGATCAGTACAGTCTGCCCTATCTTCTCATTAAACTCCAATTTCTAACTCTTACCTTGGTGATGGAGTCTCCAGTCTGTGGGCATGCACATGCGTGGGGGTCTGAGTGTGGCAACTGGAGTAGGATCTTGGGTCACAGGAGCCATATATCTACAGCCCCAGCAACTACAGCAAACGAGGGCACGTGTGCCAGTGTGTGATCACCAGCCAGTGTAAGGCTGGACAGCCAGTAAGGAGGGGAGCTGGCCCAGGAGTCAGGTTTTGGAGCAGTCATAAGTCTAGGCCAGATGCTGGAGAGACCAGAAGGTCTGAGCTTGCCTATGAGTGGGACTGGGAGGTCCAGGCCAATCGCTGAAGACACCATGAAATCTACCAAGACCCATTTGCATGTGTATGTGTCTATGCAAAACATAACTGGAGACAAGAGGACCCAGGGGCCAGAAGATGGGTATGCTAAGACCAGCTCCTAGAGGGATCCATCAATGTATATGTGTTGCATTAACAGGCTTTTGTATTGACATTCATTTTGACACTCATTTCCATTCAGCCAGAGGAAGGGAACGCAGTGAGGCCATTGGTGCTGTTTATGATTGCCCAAGTGCTGTGCTGCCTGTGTTGGTTTCTCTGTTTGTATTGATATGTTTTCTGTGTATGCACATGCACCTACTGGGAGCATGTGCTGAACCTCACTACCAACCAGACCTGGGCACACAGATACATGGTAGCCTCACCTCTGCTGGGCCACTGGATTTGGCAACTCCAGGTAGGCTAGGGAGGACAATAGATTAGGAAATGCTGGTCTTCTGATACCATAAAGAAAATGAAAAAAAATAGATACAAACCACTGAAAAAGTTCCCAAAGTGTTGGGTTCTGGATCCTCTGAAGTTGGTTGATGCAGTAATCTTTCATCGTCTTTTCAAACAGCCTCTTGATTTTTCCATATTCGTGGGAATCAAAGCTGAGCTGTATCAACTGAAAATTTTAAAAACACCAAAAATAGGGTATTACTGACAGTAACAACTCCCAGTCCTCCCAAAGGACTCATCAACCTCCTCACATCTACATAAAAATCACAAGCTCCTTCTGTTTTTCCTGTTAACCATCCTCTCCCCATGAGGAAGCACAGACACTAACTGAGGGAAATCAATGCAATCCCATGTGAGCTTCCTTTGGTGGACACACCTCCACATCCAGATTATTTTGAGTTCAGAGTAACCTAAAGTTGAAATGCACAGCAGTATTAAGGCTGGAGAAGAGTGGAAAGTTTCACCTTAATCTGACACCCTAGCTCCTTCCCTACAGGGCTAAGCTGTAGTTTTACCACAGCAAATAACATTTTGCCTCAAATCAACAGGGGAGATACTACAATACCCCCTTAAGATGCAATTCCTCCAGTTTATCAGAGGACGAGGTGCCTTGGGACAGTGCAAAGGACAGGTCAGACCAGTAATGGCCAAAAGTGCCTTTCTTATCCTGCATGGTATTGTAGGGGTTTCTCAGAGAGCTTCCCAGGAAACACACATCTATTCTGACTGTGAAACTGTCAGTCTTGTTTCACATCATAGTTGCTTATTTTTATAAGACACGTTTAAAAGCTGGGAACATCTCAACTGCCTTGACTCATGTTCTCAGGAAAATCAGTACAGGACACAGTTCATCCTACCCACTGGAGAGCTGGAAAGACCTACCTTGAACCCAATGTCAGGTAGTGCAGACTGGTCCCATTGTGGAGGATAGACAGAACAAGACAGAGTCATGTTCTGGCTGCAGAAGAGAAAGAGGAGCAATTCAGTCGATACTTCTAACCAAAACCCTCTTCTGAAGAATCCAACCATGGGCTCTACAGCAGCCTTCAGGTATCCCTGGATTTTTATTTTTGTTTTACTTTTCTCATAACTATTATCCCTTTCCCTGGTTTAGATTTCCACACACATCCTCACGGCACTGATGCATCCCTTGGCAGGTAGAAGAGCTTCAAATGAGAAGTAACACGTTCCTAGCTCGCTGGTTTATCCAACTGCTCCAGACAGCCCTCCACGTGTGCTACCTGAACATCTCAAGGAAACCAGAGCATGAGCCCTCTCCTTCCATGTGGCCACTCTTCTCTGATTCACTGGCCAGATGGGTGGCCAGTGGTACCCGTCCCCAGGACCAAGCCAGCCTGGAGCCTGTGGATGCACAGCTGTGCCCTACAGGGACTACTGCACCAGTCAGTGCTCAACAACTTCCAGCACTATGCCCTCCTGGCACCCAGGTTTTAACCCAGGCAATAGGAGCATCATCATCCATTCAGGATCTACAGTTTAGTTTGGTTTGGTTTGGATTTTTTTTGAATTAACCCCCCTTTGGTTGAACTAGCCCTTAAATTGAACCCTCAGTTTCATATGCACTTTCTATCGGTGAGTTTCTGAAGCAAAGGTAGCTCTTTTTAAAATAAATCAGTAGCACAACTGACCTTTACAGCAGATGTGCTCCAATTCTGTTAAGCTGAACTTCCTTCAAAAAAAAGCCATGAGATAGGGCATCTCAAGTAAGTGCCTCTAGTTCATCTAATTTAGGGGGATTTGCCTGAATTTGTGTTTTAATATATCCTCAGCTTTCTAGGGAATGGTATCCATATGCTCCATAGCTCTTGGGATTGGCAGTCTCTTGCTCCTAATCTCTGCACAGTTTATTTATTAGCTTTGAGGTATAAATCAAGGAATAAAAATTCCTGGCACTGTTGGGTCAGCCTTATGCAGCCTTGCCTCTCACAGAGAGAACAAATCCACTCTAGTGGTCTCTCACAGCTGCCAGACACTGCCACCAAACATCTCTCCAGAGTGCTTCACAGAAGTGTTGCATAATTTACAAATACTGTAGCCACAAAATTTACCATTAAACGAGGCATCTAAAAAATGAATTTAAGAAATCTAAAATTGCATTTTAGACAGGCAGGAGGAACTTCTTAGCAGAAAGGTGCTGTCCTATAGAGACATTGTTAAATAATGAATGTATATTACCTTCTGTCTTGTCCACCTTCAGGTAACAGATGTTTTGGCAGTCGAATAACCTTTCTTTGTGTTTTAAAGACCAAATTTGTTTGGACCATGTCTTCAAAGAAAAACACAATAACTCAAAAATTAGATAATTCATTGTCCAGGGACACACTCTTTTATGTTAAGTAAAAATAAAAGAGGAGGTAGCCCTGAATATTGCATTGCGGTGCTCTCTCTATCCCACCCACCCCAGTCCAGACTTCATTACCGTTCCCACTTGCACTGCTCCTACTTGGAGATCAGCAAGCACATGTTGTGAAACTCAAAGGCAACCAATCACCAACTGCACCTGCATATGTATTTGCACCCAGGCTGTCAGCCAGAGAAAACTAGGTCTGATGGCAGGCCTGCAGCAGGGAAGAGTTTTCAATACAATGGGGGCCATAAACCTGGCTTTCCTGGCAGCATGGGGTTGTTATGTGGTGCTAAGAGGAAAGTCTGCCCTCTCTTCTTGGTCCTGTAACAATATCACAGAGCACACGCTGTGTGACATGGCTAATTATCCATTGTTTCCTCCTTTAAACACCACTTTTGATTCATGCCAGGAAATAGATTTAAAGTTTGGAAAGCTAACAGGAGTTTTAAGATGGGTAAATAAATTAGAAACAGAAAAGCATTTCTCATTTTCCCGTTTCTCTCTCTGTGCAACCAGCCCTAAATTTTCATTAGCTGCACTCTGTGCTTTCTCTCCCCATAATTAGCTTGCAAGATGTCCACTACGGTCTCACTTCTTCACCATTTGACTTTAAGTCTTTTGTTTGGGTTTTTTTTCTGGTTTCTCGTTCCTTCTCTTTGGTTGTATAAACCCAAATGGACAAGCCAGGTGCCATGAAGCATTTACTCTCGACCCTTCTGAATACACAATATTGTCAGAGATGCTTTTTTGACGACAGATGCCCAAGTGTAGAAGCTTGAGCAAGGCATCTCAGAACTGCAGAGAAATGTACATACTGCTCAAGCTCTGTAGCATTGGAGAACATTTGCAGGAGGAAAAAGAGCTGTTCAAAGAGATGCAGACATAGGGTGAAAGCTCTTTATGGAAGAAAATACCTTCGAGCCAGCTGCACTGTGTAACAGACTTAAAACGAGGATATACTTCACCTGCAAAGTTTATCTTATAGTGCTGAGAACCAGCCGAGAAAAAAATAACAGCTTTCTTGTCAGCTAAATATTCATTCTCCAGAAATTCAGATGTTATGCTAGCAGAGCAGTGATCTGGATGCTGTAGAAAGAACAAAGAAATTATACCTGTTAGAAACTACTCTTTGGTTTAGGAGTCACTGTGGGGAAGTACCAGTGTTTCCCCAGGCCCCTATCATGTGATGCTGCTCTGAAGTAAGTCCCTAAGGTTTAAAGCATTTTGTTCTGCAGTGACAGAGGGGTACCCCACAGAGAACAGCTGCTTGTAACAACAGCAACAAAGCAGCCTTCAGCCTGTGTGGTCAGCTTCAGCCAAAAGATGTCTGTCAACTCTGGAAAATGCACACGCTTTCAAAGCCAGTCCTTTGAAAGCTTTCACAAAGTTCCAGTCCTGCTTTGAGGGACAATTAATAAGACAATTCCACCCGAGCATCGGAGCAGCACTGCAAGGGCACCCAGCAGTGCGTGTAGAACTCACCAGCTGTAGAACAACATGCCCTAAATAACTGTCCAAAGATGGTTTAACAAAAGCTTTTGGCATCAACAGCAGATGGATCTCACCTCTTTCCCATACTCAATCCACTGCTCAGAATCATCAAGCCAATACCAGGAGTACTCCATTTCAGGAGCAGACAGATGAATCCAGAGAAAACACAGGTGCAGAAGAGCTGATCAGTGCTTGGCTGCTTGCTCTGCCCTACATTGAAAGAGAAATCCAGATTCAAGTAGGATCTTCCAAAGCTGTCAAAGTATACAATATCCCTGGTCTGATCAGAAATCTAATCACTTCTCGAAAAAGGAGACCCCCTTCAGCTGGGAAGTGCAGGTTTGCCCCAGAACCAAGGTACTGCTGTTTATACATTTATGTGGCTGTCTCAGTTTAAAGAGACTGGAGTGTTTTGCTAAGGAGGACGAGTTATGAGGTAGACCAAACTCCTCTCTCTCAGCAATTGTAAATCCGAAATTAAGAGGCTCCAACCGAGGAAGCACGGAAAAAGGAAGAAATAACAACCCTTTATTAAAGGATATATGTATATTGGCAAAAAACAGTAACAGAACACAAAAACAACATCCTGTACCCAAAAGTCCCCTTCAAAAAGGAAACAGTCTGATACTTCTCTGTCCCCTAGCGCAAACCTAATCCCGGTTGGCAGGAGCGCTGTTGGATCACTGGAGGAGCAGAGCCTGCAGTTGCTCTGTGGTGGTTGGGAGGGGGCACTGTTGGGCTCTGGCGGCCACGGCGTGGGGCCCCGGATCATGGGAGGAGCCGAGATGGACATCTCCCCCCACCGAGGAGGGGAAGGGGAAAAGGGGAAAGAAGGGCGGTTTCTTTCCCACGAAACTCACTTTGTCTGTGGCTGGCTGCTGGGACTCCTCCGTTTCGCCAACGAGCACAAACTCTCCGATGAATTCTGAGCAGATTCGGGCTGGAGGCAGGGGCAGCGCGCAGGCAAGTCAAGGAGAGCAGCCAGATGACCAGGTTGAGAGAAAAACGGCCTCAAAGCTTTTCCAACACACACCCCTTGCCTCCCTTAAGGCAAAAAGTGAAATGTTCCATGTTTATAAGGAGAGGAGCAGAAAATACTCCTTCCCCCTCCTTGCAGATTTGGAAGGGCCATTAGCCTGGAATGTAGTTCTGCCAGCTCCTTTGTGTAGATAATCACCCAAGGCAGAGAGTTGTCCTCCCCATTCAATATCCTTCCCCCACATGCAGCAGGGCAAAGAAAAATTCCCATTTGGTTTTCTTAGAACAAGTAAACCCATGACAGTGGCAAGGTAAGCACCACAGAAACAACCCTGACCTCTCTGTCTTGGACCTGTGTCACTCTTTTTCTCTAAAATATATCTTTCTAAAGTACACATTGTAAGGAAATACACTTGACACAATAAACTCAGCTTGTTGCATGAAGGCCAGTGATGCCACCTGGCTAATAGGAATAAGATTTGGCTTCTGAGCAGCGTGTGATCAGCTGCAGAAGTCAGAGTGCTTTCAGAAGGCACTGATAGCATTATCCCTCCTTCAGTGTTCAGGAAAACAAAACTGCTGCTCACAGGTACTGTACCAGGTGCAGGTGCTCAGGTCCTGGCAGTGGTGGGCTGAAGGGATGGCCCCTGTGAGCAGAGCCCCTGGGGTGCCCCATGCCGGACACAGCCAGCTCAACAGACCCACTGCAGGACACAGCTGAGCTCATCAGCCAAGCTGGTGGTGCCTCTGAGAAAGCTGCTGAGCAGTGAGGAGTAAGGAAAAATGTGAGAGAAACAACCCTGTAGACTCCCTGGTCAGTGAAGGAGGAGGGGAAGAGATGGTCCAGGTGCTGGAGGAGAGATTCCGTTGCAGCCCTTAGAGAAGGTCATGGTGAGGCAGGCTGTCTCCCCGCAACCATGGTGGAACAGATATCCACACTGCAGCCCATGGAGAACCCCATGATGCAGCACATGGGCAGGCCCTCAAGGAAGCTGCAGTCCATGGAGAGGAACCCTTGCTAGAGCAGGTTTATCCTGAAGGACTGCAGCCCATGGGAAACGAACCATTCTGGAGCATGGGAAATTTTTGAGCATGATTGAGATGCAGAGGGCAACTCTCACTGAGTTACCGAGGACAACATCTATTTCCCTTCCCTGCTGTATTGTGGGGGGGGGGGGGGTTAGGGGCAAGGGGAGGTAGAAAAGTCAGGAACGAAGGAGTGAAGTTGAATCTGAGAAGATGGGGAGTGATCTTCTTGTCTTTATCTCAATTCATGAACTTTTCCATCTTATTTTCTCTCTCCTGTCCTTTTGAGGATGAGGAGTGAGAGCTAGCTGGGTGTCTGACAGCCAGACAAGGTCAAATTCCTTGGAGCGGGGGATATCATTACTTACCAGCAAAGTCTCTGCTCTGCACTCTACCCTAGAGACACAGCACCTACAAAGAGAAGAAGCTGAAACAGGTAGCTACCGATAATTCCAATTTGGAGGATTTTACTTTGCTTGCTGCTGTGCTTCAGCCTCCATTCAATGTCCCAGTTTTGGATCCAGACACTTTTTTCACCAATTCACTGTCCCTGCAACATTAACTATCCTGGATCACGTACCCATAGCTGAGAGCTGCCCCCTGCCAGCCGTGGAGCTTGCAAGGGTCTGTGGCAAGGGTCTGCTCTGAGCTGCCTGAAGAATTTGAACACAATACGGAAACAGAAACTGGAAATGATCCTGTATCCGGCTCTGACGTCCTTCATACTTTGGCAGGGATCATGGGTATTTGGAGCAGACTAATGAGAGGAAATGGTTATAGGAGGAGCTCCCTCACAGAGCTATTTACAGTGCAAAGGTCCACACAATAAAGGCTTGGCAGTACCTGGACTGCCGGAAGAAAGAGCGAGGAAAGACTCAAGTCTCCTTTGCAGATGTCACTTGTTCCAGTGCTGCCTTCAGACCACGGTCGCTCTTTCTGCTCAGTAACAGCAGCCAGGTCTGTTCCTAGAAAATGCTCCAAACTCGTCTTCTCAACCATTGTAGGAGATCAGTCCCACTGCAGGAGATTCAAGAGATCCAGCAGGAGGGTTCTTTGGATGTGGCCGTCCCTTTTCTCCCCTCTGCACAGCACAATGCTGCTGCTGCTAGCACTGGCTGAAGAATTTGAAGTTTGTGGATTTGAAGTGTGAGATTTGAGGGGGATGGAGGAAATGGAGAGGAAAGTAAGCAAGTGGGGTGGGATGATATTTCCAAGCAGCTTTTCTCCACTGCTGCCTCCCCCCCTCTTCACTCTATCCCCACTCCACAGGCAGATGCTAACCCCTGCTGGCTCCCCTGCCAAGATCCAGGGCTCCCAGTCCGCCCTAATCACATGAGCCTTCAAAAATGTCCAGTTATGCCTTGCTTTCACTTTCCACTTTCTGCTCCTTGCAGGGATTTTCCACTCACCAACTAACCCCAACTAGAAATAAATGGAGGTGAAACACTTAAAAAGCAGACAGAAATACTTTGCTGGCAGGACAGGTAGTATCCTTCACCTTTTGCTGAAGATTTCTCTATCGGATCTTGTGCATCTGTAAATTTTTTTATATCTCTACAGGAATAACTTGATACAGAGGGAATTTTAAACATAAAAAGCAACCTCATGCTACCTTTTCTCTCACACAAGGAGGAAAGACGAATTAATGAAATATAAACATGGCTTACGGTACGACTAACTCCAACAGACCTTAAAGCCAAGCCATGAAATCCCCAACTTCCTGGGTCTCTGACCCTCCTTGCTCAGCAGCAACCCCGGGAAAGCTGTCACAGCCCGGCATGTGCCACCTCCCTGGCAGGCTGCCCAGCTACCACCCTTGGGAGCTGGGGGCATCAACCTTGTGCCCGACAGGTTGGACGAGCCTGTTGAACCCCTGCTCCACACGGGAAAGGTGCCCCAGGTGCAGTAAGACCTTCAAAAATAAAGTACAACTGGCCTGTGAGAACTCCTTGTGAACTCCCAACAGCACATCTGTACCTTGCTGTCTCTGTCGAAGCCTCTCTCCGTGGGACAGCATGGATACCTCTGTGCCACGGACCCTCAGGAAAACGGAGCTGAGTAACATTTCCTTCTGATTATTGCGACATACGCATGCGCGTCTGCCAGGCGTGAGCACACCCAGCCAGGCACAGCAGATATTTCTGGCAGATACATCTGCAAAATCAGCATTATTACGAAGCAGCATGCTATATTCCTACTGCTTGGTTCCCCTTCATTGCACACCAGCACTTACCTGAAGCAGATTCCTCCCAACTTTCTAGTGGCTGGAGATATTCGGGACCTTCTCCTTTCATCAAGGAGTAGCTTCTGCTGAACATCATTCTTTGAAAGCCAAAAGCTCGTGATGCCTTGCAAAGTGAACCCCAAACCTCAGTGCAGAAAGTGGGTACATCGCTCAACATGCTCTCCCCAGGTTGGTTATCACACTGCTGGAGGGGTTGCAGTATTCAGTGCTGCATGGAGCCACACAAACCAGCGTGTGCCAAGCACAGAGCCCTGTGAGGCAGGCTCAGTCAGCCCTCTGAGCTGTGCACAGTCCCAAGTGTTTGCATTCCTGTACCTTGAAGTCTGATCCTCAGCTCTGCTCTTCCCCATGGAAATCAGAGAAGGGTTAGGAGCTTTCCAGTCTGACCTCGAGCCTTTCAGCCTAAAAAGCTGACAGTGTTTCCCAGCAAAGCACTGAAGCATAAAGTTTAACAACAGGTCAAGTAGTCTTGACTATGCAAACTTTTTCAGATGTAAACATTACTTTAATTTTTTTTTTTTGTTACACAAATTGCGTTCAGTTGGATTACCCTGAACATTTTTATTTCACAATGGTCCAGTCACACTAGATCAGTAGCGGCTGAAACACATAAATCTCTGTTTGAGTTTCTGGAAAGGGTGCACTCTGAGTGCATTTTATATACATAGTATTAAAAAAAAAAAACCCTCAAAACATAACGCCACAAATGTGATTATGAAGCTGAACTTACTTTCTTCTGCATCTGGCCTGTCTTGTCTGGCCTTTGACCTGCTATGTAGTATCTGGCTTTCATCTCCACAGCAGCATAACTTTTATGCTTTTATGCTTCCCTTTGACTGATGAGATTTATAGGATCAGGTCCTAGAGCTTAATTTTTGCTTATGTGAATTCTTTAGCAAAATACGCTTCTGAACTGAAGCTAAGAACTTCAGTATGCATGAGATAGCTCTAGGAAAAACATTCTGGCTTGGTAGAAAATGTTTACACAGCTTTGCTGGGAGCAGTATACCATCCTGTCTAAAAGCAAACAACTCTCCACAAACTGGAGACTTGAGCTCACTGTAAACCGATACCTTCTGAACATCTTTTTTTTTATTATTTTTATCCCTTTTAATTGCAATGTCATCCATGGAGCTGTTGAACCTCAGATTTCTCACTGTCAGTGCAGCCACAGTACTATATCTGTCTGTATTTCCAGTATCTGACAGGTCTTGGAGCAGACATCATATATATAGCCCTGCAAGATCACATTCCTGCACAGTCAGCAGAGGCACCCAAGTGTGGTTTCCCTGCATATGTCAAACGATTTATCCTGTATAAAAAAAACCATGGTCCTCCAGGTAGGGTTTCTTAGTTTCCTCCCAGGAATTTCAATTCTTGTTCACTTTTTCTCTTCAGAGGAAACAGACAAAGAAGGCACATTTCACCCTTTCTCTGTGCCTGTCTGCAGACACACAGCAGTTCTGTTGCAGTTTCAGACTGCTCCAAGGTTTGATGTGGGAGTACTGGTGCTACGGCATGGGCACACTGTGCTCACAGGGGTCTTGCAGCATGGGACCAGGCTGGCAGCACCTCATGCTTCTACCTCAAGATGTGGAAAATCCCCCAGATCACCCCCCTGGGGTGACCAGGCTCACCTGGTTCTGCAAGGTCTTCTGCAGGTTGGTTCCCTGGCCACCCACACGGGGTCCTGTCTGTGGGCTGCTGTGGAAAGGTGTGCCAAGGGGTTCAGCTTCAGCAAAGCCTGGTATGAGGAGGGACCAACTCTTGTCTGGGTTCCTGGAAACATTTCTAGATCTCATTTGAAACCACACTATCATTTAAAGCCAGTATCTTCTCCTGTAGGTTTTCTCAATGGTTTTCTCAATAAGACTGGATTTCCTGTTGGATGATGTCCAGGAGCTTGTAAATTAAATTGGAGGGGGGGAAGTGGGGAAATGAGCCCTACCAACCACACTGCTGCTGTCCCAGCTTAATTCAGCACAGGAACAGGAAGCAGTCATAACAAGAATAACTCTCAATTGCTTTGAAAAAAAACCACCCACCTTACTTAGTTCCAAAATTTTACAAGTTTCAGTAGATGACATCGGATTTGTAAATGGTACTTTGTTTTTATTGTAAATACATAAATGCTGGATACAAAAGATTAAAAATGTTCTGTGTTCTGCTGTTGCTCTCTCCAGCAGTCATTAGAGGAGTCCCAGCGTGCTACTTCCCACCTTTTAGGAAACGATTAACAATTACGTGATTGGAAATAGCTAAGTGCTGTTTTATCTGGACATAACGTTTCCAAATTAATAATGTAAACCAAAGTAATCCGATAACGGAAACCTCTCCTATGCCATTAATTCAAATGAGCATTTACATATTGAATCAGCAAGTCATTTGCCTGCAGATGTGAAGTTAAAGCTTTGATATGAAGTTGTTCATGTCTTCTTGCAGCACTAAATGATGCACTGATTCAGAAATCTACCCAGGTCTCATCAGTGGTCCCATCTAACTAAAGGAGAAATTGTATTTTACTGCAGTTGGGCCAAATCTTGGATTTTCAACTTCACTGGAGAGCAGTGGGGCTGGGAAGTTGAGGAAGGGATCAGGATCTATTCTTTCATATTCCAGTTGATATTCAGCTGGTTTTGTTCAATGTGTTTGTACATTTTAAAATGTCATTTCAGAAAAATAAAATCCAAAGTTGAAAGATGATTTCAAAGCTAAAAAAACTTATTCTGCTTATAGAATAATCAAAATAAAACATTCTGACCTTACTTTGTTAATATTTGAATCTGAAATGGTTTTAAAATACCTTATTAACCTGAATCTCTACTTTCTGGTGAATGAAGTTTTATTCCCCTGCGTCCTCCTTTCCAATTCATCTGCCTTTTCTCTAATCTGCTCTCCCCACCCCTTTCCCTTCATAATGTTTGCCCACAGCACAGATACTATAGCACTTCAGTTTGAAACCTTTGTTTGGCTTCCATGTATTGGATTCTATGTACTGCAACATGCTCCCTTCCTCTATTTGCCAAGTTAGGAAAATAAAATATTGTGTGTGTATACACACACAGTTTTACTGAGGACCAGGCTAGGCTGCAAAATTAGGATCTTGATTTCAAAGACACTGTAGGCAAAGCAAGCTCATTTCAGAGAGCTAGTTTTTTTCTTCTGAAAAAAGAAAAGGGGAGAAGCAGATGTGATACGTGCATCCCAATCCCAATTGGCAAGCTTGGGAACACTTGCAGCAAGGTTTTGGCTCAGGTTCATCCACATTTGAGTGATTAAAAGAATAAAAGCATGGCCTGTTTTTGGAAGGATCAAAGGTGTGAGAAATGAAGTAGATTTTATTTTCTCCTGTGAGTTCTGACAGTTTTCTCAATAAGTCTTGATTTCTTGTTGAACAACTTCCAGCAGTAACTGTAGTTTGTGTGTAAGATAATCTGAAAGGGTGGGAAAAAAAGGAAGGAAGCTTAGTCCAGAGGAAATCCTGATATATGGCTGAAAATAAGAGCTACATGCAAAGGAAATCTGTCCTAGACACTGCATGGAGCGGACATGTACTTCATTTACATCTGTGCCTTAACCATCCTGGCCTCTTCCCCAAGCAGACAGACCTCAGGCAG